GAGAGACCCCATCTCCAAAATAACCAGAGCAAAGTGGACTGGAGGTGTGGCTCAAATGGTAGAGCACCTGCTCTGCAAGCACGAGGCGCTGACTTCAAACCCAGTCCCATCAAGAAAAAAAAAAAAGACTGTCACCCAATCTTGAAAACACTCACCACAAAACAGGGCCCAAGAGTGGCTCAAGTGCTAGAGCACCTACCTGAGGTGGGAAGCCCTGAGTTCAAACCCCATTGCCACCAAAAAAAAAAAAAAAAAAGTGAGAATGAACAATTACTATGGAGTGTTATACTGTGACATGTCATCTGTATGTCTGAGGATGTGACTAAAGAGAAAAGTAAAAGTATTGAAATTTATAGGGGTCCTCTAAACCCCCTTTTCACTGACTTTTGTTTTCCTTTAGGGTATTCCCCACCTACTCCCCCCTTTTGATGCTGGAGACCCAAACCCAGGGCTTCATGAATGCTAAACATACGATCTGCCATGCTAAGCCCCAGCCCCTGCCCTGATTTTCTATGACTAGATTTGTCTCCACACACTTTGCCCACTATTTCTTAGGTTTATCTTCATATTGTTCCACATCTATATTACTACTTCCTCTTTTTCTGGATGCTCAATAAATTCAGCTCTCTAGAAAGCCCAGACCAAGGGACATCCCTAAAGGTGCAAGTGATTACATTCCCTCCTGGCAGGTAGGATTTATCTGAAACCAAAACCCACCGTAAGTGTGGCATATTAAATTATGCTGTGTGGTATATATTTTTGTACCATGGTATATCACGAAATAGCAGCATTCCTAGAACAGACAAAAATTTTGTTTCCTTACTCCAGGGACCCAGGGAATTTCTCAAGTTGTGGCAAGCGTTAGTGCTGCTTTGCAATTAGAAGGGGACAAGCCAAGTGGCAGTGGCTCATGCCTGTAATACTAGCTACTCAGGAGGAAGCGATCAGGAAGATCAAGGTTTGAAGCCAGCCCGGGCAAAGATAGGGTCGAGAGACCCTATCTTGAAAAAACCCTTCACAAAAATGGGCTGGTGGAGTGGCTCAAGGTGTAAGCCGTGGGTTCAAGCCTATAACAGAAAACAAGGGGACAAGAAAATCAAATGCTTTGCATCTTTTGTTGGATAGCTCTACAAACCGTTTTCTTTTACCTGGTATTAAAAGGTATTTCAAGGGCAGGGCCACTTGAAAGTGACATAAAGCATAAATGTGGAAAATAAGTTTTAACTTATTGCATCCTTTGTTAGTAAGACAGCTAATTACTAGTCAAAGGTTTACATTTATGGTTTAGACTTGGGCCGTGTTTGATATGTATAAATTTGCAATAGTACCATATTGTGATATGCAAAAGTGCTTCTGTTTGAGGTCCTTTGAGAAGGCATGCTGTTCTAAGCAGACCAAAATTAGGGCTTTTATCATAGACTATGATGTCAAGGAAGATAGTGGCCACACTTTTCATTTAAAAGTTGCTATAATTGGGGCTAAAGGGATAGAGTGCCTGCCTAGCGTGCGCAAGGCCCTGAGTTCAAACTCCAGTGCTGCCAAAATAAGAATTGCTAGTTTAGTATAACCTGGGTATCTGTAGGTTCATGGTTCCAAGGAGACCACCACTAAGGAAAATCCTCATGTGCAGGAGGCACAGAACTCAGTGCTGTACTACAGATACCTGATCCGTTTCCCACAATGCCCCCCAACTTCCACTAGACATGCCTTTCAACAAACCTAAAAATTTCGCTTTATCACTTCAATTAATCACGTTCACTATTACCTTGCTTTGGGGGCATAATTTGCTTTTGGGGAGGCAGATTTTCACAAAACTAAGGGCAGGGAAACACTCAGCAGATCATGTGATTTAAAGATGAAACCCTGATTAAGGCTTCTTCACATCAACTGAGGCTTTGTAGTTAGTTCTTGCACAGGCATTTAAATTTGTTTTTGAATTTTTTTTTATACTTTTGGCCCTACTGTGGTTTGAACGCAACCAGCTCTTTTGAGTTAAATCTTTTTTGACCGAACTTGGTCAAAACCATGTGTAATAAAACCTCGAAAAAGGCTAAGTGTTTTTCTGTCCTGTGCAGTTCTCCATATAGTCAGATACTGCCATAACATCAGCAGCTGCTGGTTCCCCAGGCTAAGGAAATATTCTGTTGAATGGCTATCAAAAGTGTGCTTTCCCTCTTTTCTGGGGGTAGGGGCGGGACTAGGATTTGAATTTAGGGATTCACACTTGGAAAGCAGATGCTCTACCACTTGAGCCACACCTCCAGTTCAGTTTGCTCTGGTTATTGTGGAGAAGGGGTTTCAGGAACTATTTGCCCAGAATGGCTTCAAACTTTGATCCTCCTGATCTCAGCCTCCCAAGTAGCTAGGATTACAGGTGTAAGCCACTGGTTCCCTATCTTTTAACCTTTACTCTTGTGGTGCAGAGAACCTAACTTTTCCAGATTTCACTCTAAGCAAACATGGAAAACGTCAGCATCTTCATGGAAGCTCATCAAATTGACACCAGCTAACCAGCACTAGTTCGCAGCCTTCACACGGGCAAGTTAAGGAACGAGATTGTCTTCATCAGTATGCCATATACTGATTTTTAGATCAGGAAACCTAAAGTCTACACTTTCTCTTGAAGTTAAAATCTCTGACTCCATTGTGCCATAGCTATCTGTAGGTATTGAAACAGTTCCTGTACCTTCTCAAAACATCACCCAGCAGTCTAGTGCTGGAGGCTCACACCTGTAACCCCAGCTTCCCAGGAGACAGAGATCAGGAGGATGACAGTCCGGAGCCACACTTAGCGTTGGTTTGAGAGAACCTATCTTGAAAACACCCAACACACAAATGGGTGGTGGAGTGGCTCAAAGCGGAAGAGTGCCTGCCTAGCAAGCATGAAGCCCTGAAACCAAATCTCCCAGTACTGCCAAAAAACAAAATCATTTTAACTACTTTTTTTTTGCAGTGCTGGAGATTGAACTCAGGGCCTTACACATGCTGGATGAATACTCCACCACTGAGCCACATCCCCAGCCCCCCCTCCCCTTTTTAAATTAAGGTTTTACACTGAATTACAATCTAAGTAATCTCTTCTCACTTTCATGTACTTGTGTGTTAGGCTCAAAATATCCAAGTTGGACTGAGGACTTGGCTTGCTAACAAGTTCAAAAAACCCGAGTTCAAGCCCCATTCCCTGCTCTCCCACCCCCCAAAAAAAACCCACTTTGGGCTGGGGGTATGGCTCAAGTGGCAAGAGTGCCTGCTACTAAACCCAAGGCCGAGTTCAAAGCCTAGTGTCACCAAAAGCAAAACAAAAATCCAAGTTCCTGGGGTACTGTCTGAACAGATCTAAGGTTTCTTGCTCGCTTCCCTGTCAAACCTGAAGCCAGTTAAAACAAGTAACCCAAAAAACCCTCGTCCCCATTTTCAACATCTTAAAAAGCTGCCACAACACACCCACTAGTTACCAAGATGTTTCCTTGAGGCAGGATCCGTTTTTTTAGATGGATCAGACTTACTAGCAACAGATGTTGACAATGGTCATCTCCACTACAGCAGAAACTTCCATCTAAACCAGATGATAGTCATCTGTTCCCCTTGACTGAAACTTGGTAATTCTGAGACAACCTGCTGAGGTCCTCATTTGGCTTACCAAATGGATAGGCCTTTGATTTGTAGTAACCTACCATGCTTTTCACTTACATGTGCCTTGCTTTAAACTTTCTGAAAAGTAAAAATTTTCACTTGTATACATAGCATCTTCTGGCTACTTGAAATATTTGACAAAAACCTTATCTGCCCATTAACCCTATTTGTAAGCAGGAAGTATTTTTAAAGGGAAAAACTTTGCCAGCCCTTATACTTAATTAAAAGGTGTTGCTAGGAGTTATTACTGGAAACAATTAAAAATATGACAAAATCTTAAATTCTCAAGTGAAAGTCATTTAACTAATATTTAAAACCTCTGCAATTATTAGTTTATTAGTATCATCCAGGACTCAAGATGTTCAGTATTCCTCCTGAAAATTACATAAACAAATGCAAAATGGATAGAATCCAAGTCAAAATTATATAACAAAACAGCACTCCATCACAAAAGCGTGTAAAATTACAAGAACGCTATTTTTAAAACACTGGCACTTTAAGAGAACGATAATCTCAAAACCACAAAATTGCCAAATTGTTCCCTACACTGTTAAGCAGATAAACATGACTCTGGTAAATGAGTTCGGATTTTAAAAAGAAAAATCATTTTCAAAAAAATTGGGTAACTTGCACCAAGATGCAAAGTTTGGTTTCTTTCCTATTTTGATTTATAAAGGGGCAAACCACAATATAAGAAAATATACCCTGACTTTCTAAGTGTGGCATCATTTTAAAAGCTGGCCCAACTAATTAAAAATACTTTTTAACAGAGTCTCAAAGTTTCCTGAGCAGTCCATATTTAGATAAATGGGAAAAGGCATTTACAGCCAGCACTTTCAGAGCCTTCCCTGGGACTAATGTCAACAACAAAGTTAATGAGTCTTGCATTTTAAGCTCACGCTTTTGGACATACATTCTCAGGTCTTCTTCAATGTGGGTACTGCGAAATATATAACCACCATTACATGGTAATGGGAGTTAAAGAATAGAGTCCTCATGGAAAGATTAGAACCTACTTTTCTATTAGTCCTTCAAGGACAGACTTTCAAATTGTTTGATTCTAATAATCCCATGCTGTGAATAGAACTGATTACTCTTTGTTTTGCAAATGTAAGTGCGCTATGTGAAATTTGTTATCAACTGACCGAGATTTAGAGGAGTTTCAATTATGGATGAAAGTAATTCTCAATTTAACTTTTATTACCCCCATCATGGTATGTAGGGTGTGTAGGCAAAAGCTTTCTGTCAGCTACTATATGAAGATAAGCACTGCAGTAACTCATGTGATCCAAAATGGGCAAAAGCAAAAGACTAGCTTCCCCTCAAGAAGAAAAACTTCAGACCTACGAAAAGGACAACAATACTAATAAAAAAAATTGTATTTACTTAGAAGCATTCAGAATGTCAACAAAACAGCTGCAACTTTTTTTTTTGCAATTACAGAGTGGTATTCAGTTAACAGAACAACAATTATTTCGTATAAGCTGCATCAGAGACAACTGAAGATGAAAAAACTACCGTCCCCATATATAACTAATTTGTGCTGTGCACCAACAAGAACCTGCTTTAAATTTCCATGCCAATTTACAACCCCCATACTGTACCAGGCAAGGTTAGTGGCTATTGAAAATACCACCAGGACAGGGCTATCTAAAGACACATTCGGTAGTGTGTTAACTATACAAAAAAAGACACTGTACAGTTTAAAAACAAATCTTACACAGCCTTACATTTCAATTTTTTTTTTCTTTAAAAGGAGTGAGTTGTGTACAGGGGGGTTAAATGCTTTATAGACAAGAAAAAACTGCGCTAGAACCAACTTATTCATCATCATCATCTTCTTCTTCATCTTCATCTTCTTCGTCTTCCTCCTCTTCCTCATCCTCTTCGTCCTCCTCATCTTCCTCCTCTTCCTTCTTTTTCTTGCTCTTTTCAGCCTTGACAACTCCCTTTTTCGCTGCATCAGGTTTTCCTTTAGCTCGATAGGCAGCAATATCCTTCCAAAATAAGGGGAGGAGAAAACAATAGGAAAAAACTGTTCAGTAAGGAGAAACAGAACATGGCAAAACTTTATGAAAGGTCTAGATCCCAGTTACACTAAAATAACACGTGCAGACCCCACTACCTTCAAACTAAAATTTGGAGAAATGCTCCTAAAATACTGCGATAACTACAACTACCAAAGCTGTAACTCACGAAATGGCATCGCCTGCTATTTGTGTGTTATGCCTCACTGAGGTACAATTCTGTACCACATCCTGACTGGCTTATTAAAGCTAGAATGTGGAGACTTTGATTAAAGGGTAGACACTGCCACCTTCTGAATGCAAAAAAGCATTCTACAGGTTCATATTGTCCATAATCATTTTCTTCTAATCCATAGAAGAAAACGGTATTAAATTTAAAAAAAGGTAATATGCCAGAAAGCATGCAATTACATTAAGAAACATTAAAAAAAGGATTATTTTCAGAATGACTAAAGAAGCTGAGTTTTACTTTCAAGTACTTAATTATTTCAATTTAAAATACAGGAGTTCCTTCATCTTAAAATTTACTAGTTTGGCAGACTTGTAATTTAACTTAGCGATGCTGAGGGTTTTTTTTTTGGGTGGGGGAGACGGACATCCATAGGAACAGAAATGTTTCAAGGAATGTCTAATGAAAAATAAAGCCAGCATTACTTTGTATGGTTTATTTCTGTACTATATGCCTGACCATTTAAAATAAACCATGTCTGACTCAAAGTAACATCCAAAATTTCACAAATTTGGAGACACTAGGCAATAAAAAGCAGCTTAAATGTTACAGCTTTGGCCCATATCAAATTACATTAAATCACAAAATATAAACAATTTGGTCCTCCATATTCTTTGAAAGATGAAAAGGAATTTAAGCCAGTGCAGCTGTTACACTAAAACTGGTTGTCTCCCAACTATTAGAAACTGTAAAGGAAACAGGAAATTGGAAAGATAAGATATCAACACATGACATACCTTTTCCATGCCCAAGAGCAAGCCGTACTTCTTACCTTTTCATACTTTTCCTTCAGCTTGGCTGCCTTCTTTTCATAAGGCTGCTTGTCATCTGCAGCAGTGTTGTTCCACATCTCTCCCAGCTTCTTTGCAACATCGCCAATGGACAGGCCGGGATGCTCACCTTTGATTTTGGGGCGATACTCAGAACAGAACAAGAAGAAAGCCGAACTAAAAAACAGAAATGTAGGTTTAGGATTGTTATGTTAGCAAATCTCAAAAATTTACTGCTGTAGAGACTGCCCATTAGCTCCTACCATGCACTGGACAGGATGTGAATATTTAAACAAAGTTTAATTACCTAACTTTTAGTATGAGTTCCAGGAAAATATTTTGGAAGTTATTTTGGAGAAATAGTATTTCCAAAGACATAAGAACTTTTTAAATAGTTAAATATAGCAACCTAAGCTACAAATAGTTAAACTGTACACTCTAAAGTTAAAGTGGCTTGATTTTACTGGAGCACACATCCTGCAAATACAAACAAGATACTCACGGGGGCCTCTTGGGTGCATTGGGATCTTTGAACTTCTTTTTCGTCTCCCCTTTAGGAGGAATATAAGTTTTCATTTCTCTTTCATAACGAGCCTTGTCCGCCTTTGCCATGTCTTCAAATTTCCCTTTCTCTTTAGCAGACATGGTCTAGAAAAGGATTATTTGTAAGCTTAACTTGACACAGAAATTTTAATAAATTATACTAAGAATGAAAATGCATAAAAAGTGCACTTTGCTGTGGAATGGCCTCACGTTGTTGTAAGAATGACCAGCTAGGCTTTTACATCCTAATTTGGAACTTCTGCTCTGGGCTACTACCTTGTTAGCATCTTAAACCCTTACCTTCCACCTCTCCGAACACTTCTTAGAAAACTCTGAGAAGTTGACTGAAGCGTCGGGGTGCTTCTTCTTGTGCTCCTCCCGGCAAGTTTGCACGAAGAATGCATATGATGACATCTTGCCTCTCGGCTTCTTAGGATCTCCTTTGCCCATCTTTAGTTTTTTTCTAAAATAAAAGAAATGGCTGATGTTAGCAATGAAATTATGACATTCAATAGCTTCAATGTTTAGGGAGTGAATAAAAACAAAGTGCTCGTTATTTAATAAGAGTAGTGACAACAACGTCCCATTACACCAGGCAAGAACATGGCATCATAGCCAATTCCTACAAGTGACCATGCCAAGGAAAATAAAAACAAAACAGAAAAACCTCAAAAACGTTCTGCTGTAGACACAGCACAGTCCTACATATACCTATCTGCCTGTTCTGTCCTGTATGAGCGCCTAGTCGGCCACTTGTTAAGTTTTAAATCTAAAAATCTATTTTTAACCAACAAAACCAAAGGCCAAAAAACCCCTAATGGTGCCAATTTATGGATTTGCGCTGCATAAGGAATGAATAAAGAAGCGCTTACGTGAGTAGATGCTCCCAAATTATAGACCTAAAATGCGCAAAAAAAAAAAAAAAAAAATCACAGTGCATCTAAAGTTTTACTAGCTGCTTAAAAAACGCCGGGTGGCCTCCAACTTTGCGGGGCGGGAGGCGCTCGGGCCGCGGGTGCGCGGGGCCGCCTGCGATCGCGGCGCCCCGAGGTGCGTGCGCTTCCGCGCTGACTCAACGCGTCCGGTCAGAAGTTTCTGCCCGTCAACAAGGACGAGGGACAAAAGCCACTCCTGCGGCAGCCGGCGCCCCCTCCCCCCGCCGCGATGCGTGAAAACTTGGGACGCCCGCGCGGGACACCCGCCCGCCCGCCCGCCACGTGCGCCCCCGCCGCCCCCATTTTGTCAGCGCGGCGCAGGGAGAAGCCCCGCTCGAAATGGGGGCTGGCTCCGCCCGCGGCCGCCCGGGCCGGCGCACGGAATGGCCGCTGCGCGTCTTCCCCGCCTGCGCCGCCGCCGCCGCCGCGAGGCCGAGCGCGAACATGGCTCCTTCCCTTTGTGTGCGCGCGAGTGTGTGCGAGTGTGTGCGAGGGTGCGCGGCGGCGCGAGCGGGCGGGGCGCGCTGCGCTCGCCATGGCGGCCGGGGGAGGGGAGGGAGCGGAGCGGAGGGGGGAGGGGGAGGGGGGCGCGCGCCGGCCTCCCCCCCCGCCCCTCCTCCTCCTCCCCCTCCCCTCCTCTCCCCTCCCCTCCCCTCCCCCCGGCGGCGGCCCGCCAGGCCCACCGCCGCCGCCGCTCCCCGTCTCCCTCCGCGCGGGCCGCGCGCCCCGCCGCCCCCGCACGCAGAACGTGGGGCTGTGAAAAGAGAGAGGAAAAAAAAAAAAAAAAAAAAAGTTGCCTCGGAACTGCTGCGCCCAGCTCCCCCGCCCGCTCGCCCGCCTTGTTTTCTCTCCAGCCAGCAGCGCCGGGCCCGAGTCAGCCATGTTCCAGCGAGCGCAGCGGCGCCGCTCCCCCGCCGCCGCCGCCGCCGCCGCCGGCGCCGCGCCCGGGCCGCACGGCCCCGCACCGCCGCCCCCGGCCCACCCGCGCCGCCCTCGCCCGCAGCGGCGCCCCGCCCGCCCCGCTGCCCGCCCGGCGCCCGGCTCGCTGCGGCGGCCGCCGATGCAGCCGGGAAGCACCGCCGCTGCCCGCCGCCGGCCCCGCCGCCCCGGCCGCGCTCCGCGCACGCCGCCCGCCCCAACGTTCGGCCCCGGGGTCGAAAACACATTAAAAAATTTTTTCGATTAAAAAAAATTTTTTTGCGCCAGTCAGCGCGGCCGCCGCGGCGGGTGGAAACTCGCGGGGCGCGGGGCTCGCGGCGCCTCGGGCAGCCCCAGGGCCAGGGCTCGGCGCAGGGCAGCGTCCCCGGCGCCCGGCTGAGGCTCGCTCCGTGCGCAGTTCCCCCCACGGTCCCCCCTCATTTGCCTTTGTGTGGAGCCTGACCCGCCGGCTCCCGGCCGCCGGGATCCGGCCGCCGCGCGGGCTGGGGAGCTGCCGGAGGCGCTTTCCCCGCCGCGGCGCTGCCTCAGACTCACCCTCAGCGAGGCACAGAGTCGCCCAGTGCCCGTCCGGCTCTCACTTGCCCCGGCGCTGTCTCTATGGAGCTCAATGTACTGCAATGGCTGTGAGAGCGGGAGCCAGACGCAGCCTCCTCACTCTCTCCGCTCTGTAACATTACTCTCCAGCCAGCGCGGCTCCTATTGGCTACCGCCAACTCACGGGGCTCGCTCATTGGCCCGATACCTCCCATTGTCCTGACCAGAGCCCGCTGGCTATTGGCTGTCTCCGGGGACACGTCATCAAGGATTGAAACAGCGCGCAAATCTGAATGTGTGTGTATGCCGGGCAAAGAGGCTGAGGCGGGAGAGGCAGAGGCAGAGGCAGCAGCTGCTACGGGAAAGCAGAGCTCTATGGTGTAAGTGTGCATGTGTCTAACCCAAGCCAGCCCCACTCCGGAGCGGCCGGCGGAGCGAAAAGGGCCTGGCTTTTCCCCAAGTGCCTCCAACTCCTCAGGCAAAAGAGACACCCACAGGCCTCCCCCCCCCTTCTTACCCCACACTCACGCCCAAAGCTGATGAGATAAGAGGCCCCGGCTTTTTAATAGACCTGCGAGAGTGGAGGTGATGGTAGGAGGTCCTGCCCTCCGAAAACCGGGGTCCCTGCCGGGGCAGAGGGGCGAGGGCAGCCGAGTTCCGGGCCCCCGCACAGCCCCGGGTTCCGTGTCCCTCGAGGTCCCTGCACGGCGGGGCTGGCCTGGGATCGCCCCGGCCCGGGCTGACGTGCCCCCTCGCCGGGCTCCGGGCAGCTGGAGGCCGGGACCCCCCGGCAGGCGCTCGGTTTCACCCTTTTTCTTGGTTTGATCGAGTTTCACCACGTCTAGAACTTTTTATTTCAGTACAAAGCCCCGCTTGAACTTCCTGGGAAGCAAACGATTATTCCGTGTAATTAAAGCACAGCAGTGGGTTTTGAGCTGGAGTCCTCCGTGGGAATGTGCGCGGGGACTGAGACCCCACGTCTTCTAACTGGTGTAGGCCACTGTGATGCTGTGTGTCCCTCCCATCACACCACTCAGGGCACCCGTGTACCTGCTCGCTCGAGGGTCACCAGCTCGGGGGCGTGTTGTCGCCCGAAGGACTGGGTGCGGGGCACACGGCCCGGCCGGCGTCCTAGACGCACCAGGCCCGCAGAGACGCCGGACGCCTCCCAGCTCCTCCGGTCCTTTGTGAGCCGTCCATCCACTCCGTTCAGGGGGGCGGGCCACCCCCTCTTCAGTTACGACAGACTTCCCCTTTTCTCACCCTCTCCTGGCATTTTATACACTTCTAAACCGACAGCCACCGTCAGCTGACGCACTCACCTTGTGTTGGTCTGACTTTTGTGCCCTTTCTCAGCCTCTGTAACCTAAGGTGTTTGTTCAGACTCACTAAGCTGCTTGAGGATCGGTTTGGATGGCCCTTCCTGGCCAATGGGTTTAGTGTTCACTCTCATTTTTAGAAAATACACTCCTGGCCTCAGGGATTACAGTCTTTGTGAGTTGGCAATGTTCTTCTGCGACGTGAAACCACCAGTGTTTTAACAGTAAAATATCTAAAATGAACCTTTATATTGTTATTTCACATACGCTTGATCCTCTGTATCCTTCTACTGATCACATTTTATACTTTCGGTGATCTACATGTTTCCTTCAGTGCTGTTTTATCTTATTGACCCCTTATAAAATATTCATGAGAATGGTTACTTTCAGTGACGTCCATGATAGTGAAATATGGCTGCCATCTGAACATGGCACTGTATTTTCCAGTATTTGCACTGGCATAGCCATCCACTCGACCAGTTGCCTATACCAGCTTAGTCCTGCCAAGGTAAGTGAATAGCCACAGAACAGGAGAGCAGTGAACTCATCATGATTTCTATTTGGGCAGGACGGTGTGGTTACTTATAGGCACTGGGATTAAATAACCATGGGTTCAAATCCCAGCTCTGCTACTTTCTAGCTGCATGGTCTTTGCTTCAGTTCTCTCAGCTATACAATGGAGGTAACCGCAGGACTGTTATAAAGGTTGAACTTTTTTTTTTTCCCCTAAGACGGGTCTTGTTATGAAGCCCAGACTGGCCTCAAATTCATGCCTCAGCCTTCTGAAGGATTGAACTTTTAAAATTTTTATTTTAGTTTTTGTTTTTGGCAGTACTAGGGTTTGAACTCAGGGCCTCATACTTCCACTTGAGCCACTCCGCCAGCCCACTTATTTTCTTTATGAAAAGGAGTTTTTGGTTGTTCTTTTGTGGTACTGGGCTTTGCACATGCTAAGCATCTGCTGTACCACTGAGCTACACCCCCAGCCCTGGCCTTTAAAAAAAAAAAAAGATTTAAAGTTACGTTATTTAGACCCTTTCAGTACCAATTTAGAAAACCTCAAGTGCAGCTAACCTTGAGATTTTCTTCATATTTTAATTTTAAATAAGGGCAAGTGGTTGAAAATCTAGTTAAGTTTGTGTTTGTTTATTTGTTTTTGTTTTTATCTTAACCTCAGGCAGCACTAATCTTCTTCTTTATTCCCAAGAGAACAGTGGCCATGTTAGAGACATGAGTTTACAAACCACTTGTAGACATTGCAGTTCTTATATTTGTTTTTCCATGGTGGGGGGGAAGGACATAAAAAGGCAAAACATTTAAAAATAAACCCTACAACTTCTAGCCATAATCTTGCAACCTTGATGTCCACTTATTCATGATGTTAGAACTTTCCTTCTTCCACATGAATCATTAGCTACAAATAAATACATATTTTGCTTAGTTATTGGGTATTTTACCCTAAATTACAAAGTTATCTAATTGAAAAGGTGCACATTCTCTCTAGTGCCTAATTTAGCAAACTGAATTACAGATTTTCCTTAATATATTTTATGCTTTTTTTCTTTTTTCTTTTTGGTACTGGGGTTTGAACTCAGGGCTTCACGCTTACTAGGCAGGCCCTCTACTACTTGACCCACTCTGCCAGCCCATTTTGTGTTGCGTATTTTCGAGGTTGGGTCTCATGAACTTTTGTGCTAGCTGGCTTCAAACCATGATCTTCCTGATCTTTGCCTCTCAAGCAGGTAGGATTACAGATGTGAGCCATGGGTGCCCAGCTCTATGCCTTTTTCTTTTCTTTTTGAGACAGGGTCTTTCTGTTTAGCCAGGTTACCTCAAACTCTTGATTCTCCTGCCTTTGCCTCTCAAATGCTGGGATTATAGTTGTGAACCACTGTGCCAGCATTTACACCCTTTGTTGTTGTTTTGGTTTGACTATATTTTATTTGCACTATGAAAATCTCAGTACAGCTTAGAATTTGAGGTCCTGGTTCCTGGGTGGAGCCAAGCCCTCCATCCTTCCTTGATTCCTCTCAGGATAAGTGAAATGCCTCTCTTTTGCAATCCCATAATATTCTGTATATTAATTACTGCACTCACAGTTGTAATTACCCAGTTATGTGTATCTCCACACTGTACCCCTTAAAGGCAAGGACTCAACCTTTGTATCCCAAGCACCTACTACAGTGTCTGACATATAGAGGCTACTCAAATTAAGTCTGTTAAGGGCTGGCAGAGTGGCTCAAGCAGTGGAGCACCTTGCTAAGCAAATGCAAGGCCCCGAGTTCAAACCCTAGTACCACCAAAAACAAAAAACAAGCCCCATCAAATTAAGTCTGTTGAGGCCAGGCACTGGTGGCTTACGCCTGTAATCCTAGCTACTCAGGAGGCAGACATCAGGAAGATTGTGGTTTGAAACCATCCCGGGCAAATAGTTACAAGACCCTATCTGGAAAAAAACCCATCACAAAAAAAGGATTGGCGTGTGGCTCAAGTGGTAGAGCACCTGCCTTGTTGAACCCCCAGTACTGGAAAGGAAGGAAGGAAAGAGTTCTTTTATTTTTTATTTTCTTTAATTTTTTGGTGACACTGGGGTTTGAACCCAGGGCTCCGTGTTTCTAGGCAGGCGCTATTCCCACCTGAGCCACTCTGCCAGCAAAACATGAGTTCTTAAACACATACAGTCTTAGTTTTTACCAGTTGCCAACTAAGCCAAGGACTGCAGCAGTCCAAATAAGAATTTTTCACAGAAAACTGCAAAATGTCTGTTCACAGATTGCTTCCAATGAGCTTTGGAAATGTAACCCTACTGTTAGATGTAAGTCTTTTCATTAGCTGAGTGGACATTGATTCTTGTGTAGTATAATGCATGCTAAAAGCCGAGCACTAAATGGCTCACGCCTGTAATCCCAGCTACTTGGGAGACTGAGATCAGGAGGATCACAGTTTGTAGCCAGCCTGGGCAAATAGTTTTCAAGACCTCATCTCCAAAATAACCAGAGCAAAATGAACTGTAGCCATGGCTCAAGCAGTAGAGACCTGCTGTGCAAGCCCAAAGCCCTAAATTCAAACCCCAATCCCATCAAAAAAAAAAAAATACTAAAGTCGACTATGTGAATTCTCTTGTCTCCTTTGCAAAAAAAGGGGCCAGTTTCTGAAAAAGAAGTAGAACAGTAGCCAGAGCATTTGATGAGGTCAAAAGACAACACCAGGTTAGGTGGCACAAGCCTGTAATCCCCATTTTCTGGAGGCTGAGATAGGAAGATTGCAAGTTCAACATCAACCTGAACTACATAGCGAGACCCTGTCTCAATAAAACAACAAATAGATCACACATATGCCTGTAATCCTAGCTACTCAGGCGGCAGAAATCAGATCATCATTTCAGATAGTTCTTGAGACCTTAAAAAGAGTAGTTCAAGTGGTAGAGTGCCTACCTAGCAAGTGTGTAGGTCCTGAGTTCAAACCCCAGTCCCACCAAGAAGAAAAATTACAAATACTGAAACCTGTTTTTTGGGGAGGGAGGTGGTGAAATAAAGCAGAGAGGAACACAGGAGGAGAGTACATTAAGGATTAGGGCTATAAATTATAGGGTTTGTTTTTTTCAATTTCTTTCCTTTTTATTTCCTTTCCTGCTTATATCATGGATAAACAACTATTGAAACGAGTTGAGGACTAGCAGAGTGGCTTAAGTGGTAGAGCACCTGCCTAGCAAGCATGATGCCCTGAGTTCAAATCCCAGTGCTGCCAATAAGGAACTTTTACATGTTTTACATGAATGTTTGTAACAGCATTACCTATAATAGACAAAAATTGAACAAAGGC